TTGTTTATAGTCACACCTCTATACAATCACCACATTAGAGCGCGACCAACTTGTGATTATACAGAGGTCTGACTGTATAGGAAATTTAATCTGCTAAAAAATGGAGATATAAATTAGGTTGGGATATAACTTAGTGGAGATATAAGCAAGGTTTGACTGTATTAATTTTTAGTTATATCTCTATCCCTAGTAAATGCTATAATTATTTAGTAAGTTACGGACCTAAGATATATCTCAAAAAAATTGCTATTGCATAGAACAAATATTAATTATTATGCAATAAATTACAATGATATTTTACACTATTTAGGCCGTCTCAAGCACCCTCCTCAATGTAATTAGATAATGAGCGTGCTAACGATCAAATGCTACGATCAATTGAAATAAAGATTGCAATTGGTGCTTGAGCTATTCTAGATCTACTACTCGGAAATCTTAATTTTTGATTATATTAAAATCAATTTTGATTGGTCGTACGCACGTGACTGTATTGCATTTATTGAGGTCTACCTAAATTATATCTCCACCTAAGTTATCCCCCAAAACTTGCCGGACAAAAGGGGTTATATAAGTGAGGTTTGACTGATTACTAAAAAAATTACGTAATAAATTTCGGTGTCCTTATATCAGTTCAATCAATTGCTAAACACTTAGGTGCTAGCAGATCTTCATTTAAGGTTTCCACCACTTGTAAGAAAATCAAGGCTACTAAATTTGAATGAAATAAAATTTCTTAAGATTTTTAATTTACAAATCGATTAGTAATCAATTTAAAATTTACGTACGTACTGTACATACGCACTTGGCTTTAGATTATCTTTGTAAATAATAAACTTGCACTGATCATGCTGAAATCAATAAACTTAGTTAATCGGTCAATTTTTCACCAGATATTTCAAAATTTATGAGAACAGCTGTAAAGAAATAATCCAACAGTTTGCTCCATAATATTGATACGCAATTCTACACCATCCACGATTTATAAGACATGAACTAAGCTTTTATGATATTTTTTTAATCAATGAAGAAATTAAATATTTCATAAAGGCATTCGGAAACAGCTACCCCAGTGAGACCATGAAAGATCGACAATATACACCAATCAGATGATCTGCACTAATTAAACAATCGAATTTTAAAAGTAATAAAAACTTACGTTAGGGTTCGGTTGTGACTTAAATTATGGCTTATCTTATACTAAAATTTTACGGAGAATTTTTTTTGTTAGTGCGCAGTAAATGGTTTCATAGAGAGTCGGTTGTTAGAAAAGATCTGGAGACGATCTTTCATGGTCCTACTGGGGTAGCTTTCGGAAACTGGACAAAGTTTGAGTTACGTACGTACGTACTATTATAGAGGTTAAAAGTATCGCATCACTATCTATAGTACGTACGTACGTATCTATGATTTCTCCACAAGCCCTTTTCATTTAGTTCTTTTACCCCAAGAAGTAAGTGATATACATATCCGTTAACCAGATGCTGTGCCACTAAATCACCATCACCAGTTAACAATACTGATACGCATACAGGCTAACTGGATATAGTCAACAAATATTGGATTACTTAAATCTAGATTACGGATAAGCATGTGAGTCATCCGAATAAACTAAATGAATATCCGGATTATCTTGATCAAGCATTATGAATGTTAAATATAATTAACACGGTAAATTATCCAATATACTACTATGATCAACCTAAAATAAACTATTTTATGGTATTTGTAAGTGTCGTACAGTAAAAAGACATTCAATCTATATACTATAGAGCGCCAAATTTATATGCTTACATAATCGATTTTGATTGGTTAATTTTGACGTGATTTGCTAATTAAGAGGTAAATCGCGGTTAAAGTATAAAAATAGCAAATTTAATAGCAGAACTCGTCTGAAGTTAATATAGTTTTTTCTATTGAAGTGGATGCAGATAGCTTACAATGAAAAGTTTTTTTATACCAAGTAAACCTTGAGTTTCTAACAAATATTATAGAGCAAGCTATTCCGATTCTAATAGTGCAGAATTACTAATTGATTTATAGATCGTGAGTTATTGACATTGTCACCTTCATGACTATATGATTTTTATATATTACCAGAACCTTTCGGTATTCCAACATTATATGAAAACTATAGTAAATTTTCGCCGATTTTGACTATGAAATTTATACCCTTCAACTGCGATCTACCACTAAATATTTATGTAGTGCCTCAGACTAACGCTTGCCTCAACCTGAGGATCTGCATCTGAGATGCGTAAGTTGTAGGGTGGGGGCATGGTAAAACATCATATGGGACATGGGATGTAATGCTAAATCGTCACATGAAAATATATCACTACTATGAAAATTCTTAAAATATGCCCGGAGCAGAGATTATTATCCTGTCTTTAGTTTTTAGGGCTAGGGTTAGTTAGCACGTGATGACTATTTTAAATTTAATTGTTATTTTTTGGTCATAGGTTAAAAGAGCATATAACCCTGGTATATTTTAAGAACGCTCCACAAACTATTATTTATTTCCACGTTGTGACGACTTAGAATCACGTCCCATGCTCCATGTGAAGTTTTGAAATCACACTCCTACACTAGTCAGTTGTGATCTGAGGCAAGCGGCACAACATATATATCTCTTCTCTTTTTTATATTAAAAACCAATTTTTTAAACTATGATAAATTTTAACTCCTTATATAACAATTTAAAAATTTTATTAATAAATGTGGATGTGTTTTACTGTCCAGTACAGTATTTCATAAAATAATAGATCTTATTTCATAAGCTGAAGTACATAGAAATCATTAAATAAAATCGCTATTGCATGTGATGCATGCAATAACTACATACTATCTTATAGTGGTAAGAGATTTTGAATAAATAAATAGATGGACAAATGATGTGACAAGAGAGACCACGTAGTTAAGTTGCTACAAGGATAAAATTTTACGACAGGCTGTTCCTGTGCCAAGCATTTGCCATCTTTATAAATTTACACGTAAGCGTAAATGTTTTTAATAAACGCCTTGTATAAAATATTGTATTATTATATAGCCATAATTTTAAAATTTTCTAACATAATATCTATATAACTTTCCATATGTTTTATTTTGATTACATTCTTTATCAAAATCATCGAATAATTGTTGATATTCTTTTGGAGATATTTTCATATAATCTGGCATATAAGTCAAAGCACCATAAAACTGTTTTATTTGTTCCAATGTCTGAACAAATACATGAAATACGATCAGAATTAATCAGTCTAGTATATTAATAGTTTCCGTGCGAATAAATGATTAAATATCAAAACTTACAAGGTTGCCAAAACTTCCTGACCAATTACCGATTGGGGAAGATACTTCACTACGTTCAACATTACCCACCCCATTAATTGATTCAAAACATTCAGGTATCCTTAAGGCTATTTTGGGATCAAATCCATCTTCTTTTAATTTTGCGTGCACTATTATATAATACAGTTATTTTAACAACACTTTTAATATACGTGAATAATAAGATTTATAAAATCTTACCAGCATCCTGAACCAGTTTCATAGAATTTCCTAAATTTATGTATTCCAAATCAGGCTCTTGAATCTCAATCCATCTATCGTGTTTCGTCACACGCACTGTTTCGTAAATAATACTTGAGTATTGTTGTTTAGTAAGTGACGCCCACATCGTTGATATATGGACATAATCAAATGTCTCATCCGGAAATGGAATTCCACTTAACAAGTTACACTCTATAAACCCCACATTAGAAGGTAGTTTATATGTTAAAGGAAACTTGCATGATGGATCACTTATACCGACAATTATTGAATTTGGAAAATCGTTTGCCACCTCTAAAGTCCAATAACCACAACGTCTATTATATATATATATATATATATACATACATACGTTAGGAAGCTCGTGACAGTTAACGCATTATGTACATAGGTGTAGGTATGTACGTACCCAATATATAGAATTTTAGCTTTATCATTCATTAGTATTTCTTCTACAGGAGCTGAAAAATTGCTTCGCCATAAATAACGAAATATTAAATGAACACCCATACTTCGCTCAAACTCCGTTGTATCCGATGGTAAGGCTTGTTTCGATTCATTTAAGAATTTCCTTCCTCCAATAGTTTTAAACAGATCTAATAAAGTTGAACATACATCATTATCTGATTCACAACTATTTATATTTTGACTTAAAATATCTTTATTGTTATCGTTTGTCTGTTTTTCTTTATCGAAATTTAAGGACATTATTTTAAAAATGAACGTTTTGCTTAGACAATTTTTCAAAATAAATAAATAATTAAATAAATAACTGATTAAATAGAAATATTAAAAACAGGGGCAAGATTATCAATTCCCTTTTATCGCATATGCCGAATTTGTAGGATTTGAAAATAAAGTCTTGTTAATTTTTGTGGAATCGGACTCAAATCAGATGCTTTTGCGTCATAT